GTTGACTGGCGTTGACCTAGGGTTACGTGTTGACCGGCGTTGACCCTAGGGTTTCGAACGTCGAATGTTGACTTTTTGGTCGCAACGCGTTAACTGGCGTTGACCTAGGGTTACGCGTCGACCGTCGTTGACCCTAGGGTTTCAAATCGTTCGGTGTTGATTAGTATGGATCTTGTCGAAATATCCAACAACCGACGAAACCGAGACACCCTTGGCGTTGACCCTTGGGGTGTCTCGGCCAAACCGAGACACCCTTGGGGTGTCTCGGTTCCAAGGCCGAGATTTTGCCCCTCCCTCTCTTTTTTTTTTCTTTCCTTCTTTTCTTGTTTCTTCTTTTGTTTTCCCTTTTGAACTTTCCTTTTTGTTATTTCCTCTTTTGTTTTCCCCCTCTTTCCAAATTTTCAAAAGAGAATCCTTTCCTTTTTTAAACTCTTTCTTCCTCCTTCTACCCCTCCACCATTGTTTCCTTCTAAAGGCTCCCAAACTTATACAAAAAATTTCAGATTTTTGTTCCCCTCTGGGCCGAAATTAATCTCTCCTCCAAGCTAGGGTTTCATCATCTTCAACCTCAAGGAAAGCTTCTTGATTTGGTAAGTTCCCCTTCACAACTCTTTTCTTTTTCAAGAAAGATTGTAACTTTATGCTTGTAATGGGGATACAACATGAACCCACATGCCAAGATCATAACTTTTTATTCTAATGATGATGGGTTGTGAGTATGAACCGAAATTTGGGGTTTTTTTATGCAAACTTGCAATATAGCCGAAATTGGGGGGCTTTTGTGCAAAAGAGGGCTGAAATTTGTAGGGGCCTTTACGCAAAATGGGACTGAAATTTTGAGGCTTGGACTTTAGACCCATTTGGCCACAACTTTGAGGGGTGTTTCATGCAAAAAGACCACAAATTATTGAGGGTTTTATGTGCAAATATGGGCCGAAATTCTTTTGGGGGCTTATTTGTGAAATTGGCCGGAGAATTGAGGTGGTGTTCATGTAATAAAGGACTGAAATTAGGATCTAGATTACATGCTCATTTGGTCGAAAATTGAGAGGTGTTTGTATGCGAAAGATTCAATGTTGTTTGAGGGGTTTATTTGCAAAAGAGCAACCCACAAAGTATAGGGGGGTTTATTTGCAAAAGGGCTGAAATTTCAGGACTAAAATTCCAAAAGTTTAGATCACAAACTTATGACCAAAGTTTTGAGAAAGGTGTGCGGAAACTAAACCGAAATTTGTGGAGGGGTCTATCTGCAAGATTGGCTAAATTTTACAAAAAGGGTTTATTTGCTAAATTAACCAAAATTGTGAGGTATTGGGGGTGCTATATGATCAGATATGATGACCATGACCCAACTCGAGCGTGTCCTTGACCTGTATTTAGCCTTGAACACGAGGGATGTTTTGGGTATTTCACCAAAATTTACCGCGAAAATGACAATCATTGTTTCGCATGCACGAAATTTGCAAAATGACAATCATTGTTTCGCATGCACGAAATTTGTAGGTTTAATTAGACTTCAACTATAAAATCCTATTTATTCATAGGACTTTAGTTCAAGTTCTTAATTTCCCTTTTAGATTTCGTGTATTCATATTGTGCCTGACTCACTGCTTTTCATTGCAGATTTTCGATGTCTCCACGTCGAACTCGACCTCCTAGGAGTCACTCCCGTTCGCAGCCTAGCGAGGAAGAAGTTCTTACAGCATCCTCCCCTCCAGCGGCTTCCTTTTTTGGGGGTGAGAATCTTTATTTCTGTATCCCTGATTGATCCCTTCGCGGGTCATTAAGGAAGAACCGATACCCTCCTTCGCGGGGGTTGAGGTTTCGGACTTGTTTTGCTTAGCCAATTCAAGTCTTCTGGTATATTGGGGCGATCTCGTGTCGTCTTACACCTTACAGGCCGGTGTATGTTACCATGTTATCTACGTGGTGATGCATACCGTATTTCCAGTGTAGGACACTCAAAATCGTATCTCCAATTATCCCGTGAATGATCTTGTCTCGCTTTTTTATCAGATGGATTTTCTGACTCCATCCTTGTGTTTTGTTGCAGTCGAGTTCCCCTCGGGCAGCCTCCCTCATCATGCCCCTACTGGTTGTAGCAGAGAAGTTTTCTCTTCGGCTTCCATCAGGCAGGCCATTGGTCCACTCCCTCAGTTCCAGAGATCGCTCCACTCCCTCAGTTCGATAGAGACCGCTCCGATGAATCCTGTCGTTTGATACGGGATGGAGGGCGTCATTGCTTACGCCAGCTGATTACGGATGCTTCCTTTACTGCAGATTCTACTTCTACTCAGGCTTTAAAGAAGCCCAGTTTTCTGTTCGGAGATCACACTGAGGATCCTGCTACGTTGACTCTTATCGAGGAGCATTGGCTGACTCTCGACGAAGGAGCTCTCCTATATATTCCCTCCATTCCTCGTCAGTATTCTTTCACTCATTTGGAGGGACAGGCCGTGGAGCGACAGATGTCTTGGCATCTTACCGATGATGCTGAGCGAGTTCAGTGTGGATATACCTCTCATCATAAGACTCCTGGTTCTACTGGGTATCATTACATCCGTGATCTTCGACCAGGGATTACGGGTCTTAATACTGCACCTCCAGGCGAGGTATCAGCAGCCGCTCCTACCGTGAAGAACCGTCTGGCTCATCTTGGGAGAAGATTACCTCCACCAGATTATAGATGCTATGGTTAGGCTTTCTCACTACCCAAGGGATGGTGGACACGCATGACCAGTTACGTCTTGGGGCGCTGGGAGAAGGAAGGATACTCCCGATATGTACGATACTCTTTGGGACCTCACCTGTCATTATCATACCTCCCTGATCCAGATTTCTCCTCCAGCGAAGAGGAAAAAGCAGATCAGCTTGAAGCAGTTTGCTGTCTATTTGTTCCCGAATTTGGAGGGTGATTCCGGCGAGCCCCTTCGTGAGTTAGACGTCTTGACCCCTACCGCCATTAATGAGTTGATGGAGAAGGTTGAGGCTCGTTCTTACACCATTGCCAGTGCTGAGGGAGCTTTTCCTGCGGGAACCAAGTTTCGTTCGTTCCTCCGCCGTGCACAGAAGTCCATTGAGCCCCGGACTCTGCTAGCAGGCTATCTTGCCCTCTGGTTGAAGAAATGTGTTGTTCCGTACCAGTTCTCAGACGCCTTACCTCTCGAGGTGCTCTTTCCCGCAGTTCAGCTGGCTTATGGGAGGGAGCTTTCTCTGCTTCCAGCGATGGTTGCTGGCATCCATTGCGGGCTTAGGTGTCTGGTCAGTAGTTTTACACAGGTGGGTTCTGAACCATCGACCGAGCTTATTTGTCCGAAGGTCGAGCTTCCTTATGCGTATCGTTGGTTGTTTCCGCTGGTTAGTGAACATCCGTGTTGGGTATCTCGTTCTCCGGGTGAAGAACCGTTGCCACATAGAGCCTTACCTTCCCTGCCGTTTTGCTCGTCAGTTCGGCTATGACCAACTATATGTTGGGAATCCGAGCCGTGGTTTGAAGGTTGAGGGAGGGCTTATTGACGGCGTACGAGCATGGTTATGGACTATGGTGGGCTGCACCGGAGCCCACTTTGCTCTTCCTTCATATAGACGCCAGCCGATGATTACTTTCCTCAGTTGCAAGTGGTTCCTTTCCGCCAATGAATCCATAGGTGTGAGGAGTCTTTCAGAGTTACAGTCTGAGCATTCGGTCCAGATCGCTATGATGGCTGCTCGTAAAGCTGAGCTTGCTAGGAGACAGGGAAAGAAGCCTGCCAAACCTTCTCCCTCGAACGGAGACAGGACGAAGGACGATGAAGAGCTCCCTCCTACTGACAACGAGGATGAGATTTCTGAGGGGGGTATGTGGATATAGATACTGACCAAGAAGAACTTGATGCAGGTTTGTCATGCTCTTTAACCTTCTTTCTCCATTTCAATTGGTATCAACGAACTGACTCTTATCACCCCAGGTAGGACAGTCGATGAGCACGAGTCGCTCGCTTCTCGTTATGCGAGATCTAGGCTTAATGGCCAAGCTCCCACGCATGTTGAGACGCGTGGCAAGTCCATGCATGAACGACCTGTTGGTTTTATGAGGGCTGGTACTCCGAAGAAGAAGAAGACTGCTCATAAACCACACGTCGGCCAGCGTCCCTATGGAGTGGACTTAGGAGACATCGCCGATGGAGAGGAAGGTAACATTTCGTCATTTTCATTGCTTTAAGATGTCTCACCTTCTGGGATTTGTAATCATGTTTTATGTTCCAGGGTACTATGACGAGGGCGAGCTTCCACCGGACCCCGTATTCCCTGATTCTGATAATATGGATAACTTCGTGCAGCAAATGTGCGACGCCATTCGGGGTGGTTCCCTGGGTGTTGATATGAACATTGACACCGAGCGGCTAATAGTGTCAAGCCCACCACTCTATGTCCAGGTATATCTAAGTCCGATGATACCCTCATCGAGTAGCATTTGGCGGAGTTAGAGAAATCAGGATTCATTATTTTTTTTTGTGCCTCGCATTCTTTCAGATTTCCTGAAGAACTCAAGCATGGATATTAGGGAACAAGAATCTTCTGTTCCTGCTGCAGGTACTTCTGAGCTTTTCCTTCTTTCCCATCTTCTTGTAAATATATCCAACACTTAAATTATTCTGCAGATGTCGTGATAGAAAAGCCAGTTGAGGATCAGACCTTTCACTTAAATTATTCTGCAGATGTCGTGATAGAAAAGCCAGTTGAGGATCAGACCTTTCATGATGTGGGTTTCAAGGAACAGAGGTGTGCCTCTGCACATAGAAAAGCCAGTTGAGGATCAGACCTTTCATGATGTGGGTTTCAAGGAACAGAGGTGTGCCTCTGCACTAGGTTTCTCGGGACCCGATGCTGGATTATTAGTCGATATGCTGGCTAAGCAGGCCACCAGAAGCACCGTGGGACCACCCTTCGGGAGTGATTCATTCACAGGTATATATCTGCTTTCTTTCATTTTGCCTGATCCTTTGTCTGACTAAGGAAGGATTAATATTACAGTGCCAGTCATTGGGACTGATTCAGTAAGACTCCCCAGCACATCTAGTTTACCTCAGAGTGACGGACTCGCAGGTATGCAGACGACCTTTGGATGTCGTGTTTCCTTTCATTTATATGATTTTTTTTTGACTAATAGAGGGGTGTAATCATAGGACCAGCCACTGGGACTGATACCTTTATGACTTCTGGCATCCCTCTTGCATCTGAGGACGATGGATTTGCAGGTATGCATACGATCTTATCATCCCGATTTTCCTTATTTGTCCAAACTTTCATTTTGACTAATAAAGACATGTAACTCTAGGACCAGCCGTTGTGCCTGATGCCACTACAGTTTCTGGGACTGATAGTTTGCCTGAGAGTGGTGTCTCCCCGCCACAGCCAAGAGGTATGACTGATTTGCCTACAGGAGTTGATATACCCTCCACGACTACTCCTGCAGTTATTTCGAAACTTGTCGGATCTCAGCCTGAGGGGACCTCCGTTGGCATTGGTATGCTCGGAATTTGCCTTTAAATTTTCTTATCGTATTCGATAATCTTTTAACTTTCCATACTGTTGTTTGTAGGATCTCGATCATCTCTATATGAGCATGTTCGCGCCCTCTTGGCCGATACCGATCCTGACAGAGACATTTTCCGTACAGACCTCGGCTTTTTTACCACCTTTTTAACGGCATGATCGAGAAACTGCTTCATCGAGGATATTGTTTTGTTCAGTTCAGGCGTTCCTTTTCTCGTCACATGATGATGTTTATAGAAGAAGGGTATCCGGGGTTAGCTGATTCTTTCATTGCCGATTTTGCTGCTCTGGAGTCGGAGATCCGAGAGTTAAAGGAATTAAAGGCTAATGGAGCTTCTTCCTTCGTGTCCTCTCAGATGGAGCATAGGCTGGCACAGTGGCACGACCTGAGATCTTCCATCGGCAGTGAGCTTCAGTCACATGAGCATTCAGTTGCGCAGCTGATGGCTAGCGTGGCGAGGAAGGATACAGATAGGTCCGAGCTACTCCGCTCTTTGGATTCCGGCCGCGAGGAAGTGGCTAGATTGAAGGAGGCCTTGAAGCACGCCGAGGAGTCCATTACTATCATTGCAGAAGACCTGGCTGGAGTAGAGCATTCTCGTGGACAGGCCCTCGAGAAGCTAGGATCTACACAGGAGAGATTGATGAAGCTGAAGAATGAAGCCGTGAAGATCTTGAGCAGTTCTGAGGAATCCGTCTGAGCTGGCCTGCAGGCAGAACTTGAGCAGAGTTATATAGATAGGCTTTCTAGTTTAGAGTCTCATGTTCTTAGCCGTCAGCTGCCTTCGGGCTAACGAGCTTTTTATTGTATACTTTGACTTGATCTATTAATAGAGACTCCGCATTTGATTCCTTTATGGTATTTCTTTATTTATTTTGAGCTCAGCGATGATAAGATTTACAGGATTTTTGGCAAACCCCCAGCCATCAACGGGTTTGATATGTCTTTACCGATTACAGTTTGAATCGGACTAGCATGTGAATTATTAAAACCCGCCTCACATGTAACGTTGTGCTAAGAGAATTGCTTTTCTTAGGCTTGATGCTATGACTTTGAATACATAGACTTAACCATTTTTTTTATAGGGAAAAGGTACCCCGCGCCGTGTACTAGACGACGACTTATCCCTTCTTAGGCTTCGGGATAAAATTCCCCAGGTTTAGACCCTGGTGTCTTTTTCAATCGGCGAAAGACTAAACCGGCAATGCGTGTTAGACATAGACTTTGGGATTTTTGGCAAACCCCCAGCCTTCAACGGGTTTGATGTGCCTTTACCGATTACCGTTTGAATCGGGCTAGCATGTGAATTATTAAAACCCGTTTCACATGTAACGTTGTGCTAAGAGAATTGCTTTTCTTAGACTTTGTGCTATGATTTTGAATACATACGCTTCGCCTTTGTTACGGGAACAGGCTACCCGGCAACACGTGTTAGGTGTTGACTCGTCCCTACTTAGGCTTCGGGATAAAATTCCCCAAGTTTAGACCTTAGTGTCTTTTTCAATCGGTGAAAGACTAAACCGGCGACGCGTGTTAGGCGTAGACTTATCTCTATTTAGGAGTTGAGATAAAATTCCCCGTGCACCAAGTGCGCGGATTGGAAGTTAAGAATTGTGTCTTTTCTAAGAACAAAGACAGACTGGAAAATGGGAGAGGAAGAATTTTATATTCTATCTATCGGGACTGAAAAGGAAGAATTTTATATTCTATCTACAGTCGGAAAGGAAACTCAAGGTGGGATCTCCACCCCCAGAATCCAAAGAGATGAAACTAAGAGTGGGATCTCCGAGAATCGGAAAAGTTCAAACGGCCCTAACTTTTATAGGATTGGTCATTTGAATCAAAAGAATCCCTCATTCATTGAGGAGAACGCCCAAATTCGACCCTAACTTTTATAGGTTTGGTGGAAAAAGAACAAAGGCAGACTTTCGTTTATCGAAAAGGAATGACTTGGTCTTAATCCTGACTATTTATAGGCTTGACTAAGTGAGATTGGGAACAACCCTAACTTTTATAGGTTTGATTGTCCGAAATGAAGGTGGACCTCTTGCTCATGGAAAGAATCGAGAGAGGAATTTGGCTTTGGCCCTAACTTTTATAGGTTTGACCTGAAAGCAAAGAAAGTGGAATACAGGTAGCAAAGAAAGTGCCAACTCGTATTATCACTCAAAGGAAGACTTTAATGCTAGGTGATTAGGACCTAACATATTGTAGAAATTTTGGTGAATCCACCGTCGATTAATTTGATCAGCGGATGGTTTGGTGAGGAAAGATTAACCTATCCAAGGATTGAATCTCGTCTCACAAAAATAACTCATGAGAGCTAGAAAATTTAACAATAAGAAGAAACATTCCGACATTCAGAGTTCGAACGTGGATTTCTTATTCATCACTTCTACAGTGACTGGGTTATCCCTAAGAATACCCCATGTGGTATTCTTCCGAGAACTTCCCGATACATCAATTTTCCTGAAGATACTAAGGATAGTATCTTTTCAGGAATTTGCCATTTATTGGCATCAACCAAATCCCCTTCTTTGAAACTCCGTTGTCGAACCTTTTTGTTGAAAGCTCGAGAGATTCTGGCTTGGTAGAATTCGATATGTTGTTGAGCTTCTAAACGCTTCTCATCTAGCCTTTCAAGTTCTTCAAGGCGCTTCTGATGTTGCTCTTCGGTCGTCATTTGAGTCGCGAGGGCAATTCGAAGTGACGGGATTTGAATCTCCAATGGAAGAACAGCTTCACATCCGTATACTAGTGAATATGGGGTCTCTCCCGTCGGTGTGCGCACTATAGTACGATATGCCCATAGAGCCGCACCAAGCTTGTCATCCCAGTCTCGTTTATTAGTTTTCACGAGTTTTGATAAAATCTTTATGATAGTCTTATTGAAGGCTTCGGCCAGTCCATTCGCTGTGGGATTGTAAGCTGTCGAAGAGATGTCCTGAATTTTAAACTTTTCGCAAAACCTGATAAAGGTGTTGCTGACGAATTGAGGACCGTTGTCATGTACGATTCGTCTTGGTACACCATGCCGGTAGATGATATGGTGCTTGATGAATGTAATGACATTGCTCGTTTTAACTTCTCTGAGTGGAACTACCTCAGCCCATTTGGAGAAGTAGTCGGTAATTGCTAGGATGAACCGGTCACCTTTGACTGACGGGGGATTTATAGGACCAACAATGTCCATTCCCCAGGTTTCAAATGGCCATGACGTAACCGAAGGATGCAGATGCTCCGGCGGTTGGTGGATATAATTCGCATGTATTTGACATGCATCACACTTTCGGGCATACGCGATTGCATCACTCATCATGGAAGGCCAAAAATATCCCATTCTTCTGATGCGGTCATAAAGTTTGGGACCAGGTTGGTGTGCACCACACTCTCCTTCATGTGCTTCTCTAAGGACTTCCTCAGCTTCTTTAGTCGATAAGCAGTGTGCCAGCAATCCATCGTACCCCATGTGGTATAGCGTTCGATTCTCCGTATTATAGTAGAATCTTGGTGCCCTTCGTCGGATTGACTCTCTTTCCTTCATATCCTCTGGTAGGATTCCATGCAAGACGTAATCGATGATGGGGAAAAGCCAATCTCGGGGTTCAAACTCAATTTGGGTTGAGTGTGTTTCCTTAATCTCTTCCTCTTCGTCCTCTTCATCATAGATCGGCACTAGGAGTTGGTGGGTCCTTACCGTAACGAACTGTTCTGTTTCAGGAGGCTGCGCCAGTGATACGGCTAATGCTGCTAACGCGTCTGCGTAGGTATTCTGTAGCCGTGGAATATGTTCGATAAAGAATCCTTCGAATGATTCTGCCATCTCCACTGCCATCTTATGGTATGGTATTAAATCTTGGCTTCGGACCTCGTACTCTCCCTGAACTTGTTTAACTATCAGTTGAGAATCGCCGAAGGCTTCGAGGTACTCAACCCCCAGTTCTTTGGCGAAACTGAGTCCTATGAGTAATGCATTATATTTGGCTACGTTATTTGAGCACGGTTCCGTCAACGAGTAAGCTCGAGGCATCACGTGCTTTCCTGGGGAAACTAAGACAACTTCCACTCCGGAAGAAATCTTAGAACTTCCAGGAGCACTTGCTACATTAGTTGCTTGTGAAGCGCCGTCGAAGTATAAACGCCATACTTGCTGGTGCGAAGTCGTGTTGACTTCGTGGGTTTCATCGGGTAGGTCGTCATATATCTCGGCGGTGTCCGTAGTTAGGTTAGCTGCCAGGAGATCACAGATGGCCTGTCCTTTTACTGACTTCTGTTGTTTAAAATGTAAGTCATATTGGGACAAGAGTAAGGCCCATTTTGCTAACCGCCAGTTCATGAAAGCTGGTTGAGTCATGAATACTCGGACTGGGTTAACTTTAGAGATGACATAAATGGTCTGTCCAACCAGGTAATGCCGCATCTTCTAAATAGCGAACACTAAAGCGAGGCACTCTCTCTCGATCATGGGATATCAAGATTCAGCGCCTACCATGGTTCGGCTTAAATAATATACTGCCTGCTCATGACCGTTATCATCATCCTGTGCAAGTAATGCACTTAATGAGTGGCTCGTCGCCTTGACATAAATCAAGAACGGTTTGCCCGATTTCGGTGCGACGAGTACAGGAGGTTTTGAGAGATATTCTCTAATACTCTCGAATGCCTTTTGACAAGCATCATCCTATACAAATGACACGCCCTTCTTTGTGAGCTTGGAGAATGGTTGACATTTTCCTGAGAGGTTCGAGATGAACCGACGGATGTAAGCCAATCGGCCTTGCAATCCTCTGAGCTCCTTGAGGTTTCTCGGAGGCTGCAATTCATTAATTGCCTTTAC